CTTACTGTGTTGTTGATTATCATTCTTTCCTTCCTCAGTGAAAATTTAAAAGTGTGGAAAGAGTCCAAACCTTCGCAAAAATCTTCAACTGAAGAAGGCACGGATGTTATCAGTAAAGTGTATGGATTTTCTTCTTATTGAAAAATATCAATTTTTGCAGATTTTAGTTGTTTTAATACAATTCCATGTATCATAAGGAAAAATGTGTTTTGACCTCAGAGGATATAGATTGCTTGCCTTTCCATAAAGTATTGTCTTGAAGTTACTTTAAAAGCAAAATTCCTAAAATATACTAATTCCGAATTTTGGTATGCCCTCTGCATATTTGAACTACAAATTTTGCAAATATTGGGTAACATGATCGATATACCTGTTGTTATCTGTGTGACATATTAAACAGATGAATTTTTGTATGAAAACATAAAATTACAAAGTTTCTGTGAAAGTGATATCATTGTTTATTTTAATACATGCATTCCACAAACTATAGGCACCTGTTCTTTAATTGACTTCTCAGCAAACATGGGTTCCAACTCTTTAATTGGCTGAGCGACCAAAACCCTCCATACCCCATGAGCCAATCAGAATTCGCAAACGTGCCTCGCAGCCACATTGAGACCTTTTTTGGATGTTTTTACCAGTACCCACAAACAAATATATAAATGTGTAAAATGTGCTAAAATATAACCTAATTTTTTTCCAAAAATTTATTCTAGGATGAAAAAAATTTCTCAGCACAATATTTATGCATATAACTTTTTAACAGGAATGACTCTGAGCTAACAGCCAGTCTGGCAGAAGAATCAACATTTTTATCAAAATCGCCAATGTAAGTTTATCATTTGAATACCAAATTCTTCTTTATTGTTTCTCGTATTTTGTTGACCTTTCTTATAGAGCTTGACTTACAAATTTCTTTTTTCTCATGTTACTTACAGGACTCATCTCGAAACAAATGAGGATATAACAAAGAAATCAGATCTGTATCAGGAAACTTTGGAATCTTTGTTGCCCTCTGCAGTTCCTAAACAACAATCAATTGGTACTGATGAAAGTTCGTTTGACTCTGTTGCCAATCTAATTGCTGAGAAGGTTGCCAAAATAATTCAGAAGAATGGGCCAAAAACATCATCCAGTACTGTTGATACGAAATTAAATTCCTCAAATTTAAATGAGTTTTTGGAAAACTTCCCAGACTTTAAAGTTATTAAAGACGAAGGCATGGGTCACATTCTCAAATGTACCCCATGCAGCAGTTTTATTGCAAGCCCATATGACAAGAGACCTCCATCGAGAAGAGGTAATATTTCATCTGCTGGGTCATTAGCAACTGGACTCACTCTCAGTTTTGACACCTATTCAAACTTGTGTTTTGGACATTGCCAAAAATGGTTTGATTTGAAGTTCAAGCTACAGAAACATTTGTCCTCAGAGGGGCATCTAATGGCCTTACAGCATGCAAAATTATTGAGAAAAGGAGAAAAAAGACGGTCATTGGTAGTAAAAAACCAATTAAGGACAGCATTGGGAGTTGTAAAATCAAAATCTGCAGCTCTACATTATGAGACAAGGCTAGCAGAGTTATATGCTGCTGGAGTTGATGTTGGCGACTATGGGCACTCCAGAAAACTCTTTAATGCAATGATAAAGGCCACATGCAATTACATTGACATGAGAACAAAAAGATTCCTAAAGATGCCTCTTCCAAACACAGGTATGACTCCACATTTCTATGTGACAGCAGACAAATCAACTAATCATAGAATTGTCAACCAAGTCACTATGGTGTGTCTAGTAGTAGATGGAGCTCGCCAAGGAATACCTTTGAGCATGTCTCCAGTTTATTTTAACTCAGAGGGAGACACTGGTCGTGGAAGCGATTTAGCTAAAGCTGTCATTGATGATTTAAAGAAGAATGCTGGTATAGAAGAAGATCAATGGATGCAGGTTCAAGGAAGAGTCACTGATGGACAGTATATCAATACTCCATTTGTTGCTGCAATGAATGAACCAATCATGAAAGCTATACAGACGTACGAAGATGAAAATTCTGTCAACTTGTCCCACATTAAAGATGAATTCTGGTGGCCAGTTCAGTGGGACCCAGCACACTGGCTAGACAAAGTTTTCAGTGCTCACAGGAATACTGACTTTGTTGAGCGCTTACTTAAGCGAACAGCACAGTATCATCAAATGTTTAAGCATGGGAAGTTGCACACTGTTGCAAAAGAAACTGCTAGAGAGCTGTCACTTCCATTTCGTGTAACAAATTCTTATGCTAACCAAAGATTCATGAGCTCTAGCTATCTTTCCTTGAAGAACTTGGCCATTTCTTTAGAAGCTTATATAGAGAGCTACAAAGATCATGATAATCGAGAAGATCTTGGTTATAAGCTATGTGGCCAAGACTTTTGCTTTGATCTTCTTGGGCTTCTTGATCTGCTATGGCCTTTGGTAACACTAATGTTAGAGGGTCAAGCTCAGTGGTGTCCTGGATGGAAGTTTGCTGGGTACATCCCAAAAGCCAGAGATGAAATTATTAAGATCATGATTGAAATTGGAAAAGAATCCCCTGCAAAAGAAATTTGCAAATGGCTTGGTGACAGAGGGGAGGAAATTAGAAACATGAAATATGGTCACAGCAATCTTAAAGTTGGATGGCTTGTTGTGGAAGAAAAAAAAGGAATGCCTGTAAGCTGGGAAGCACGAGAGATTTCTGATTGCATTAAAGATCTTCAAGACTTTGGAGATAAGATGTTAAAAAGTCTTGATGAAAGGTTTCAGAAAAGCTTCCCAAAGCTAAATCAAATTCTTCATGAGTGTTTTGACTTTGGCGTTCTAATGCAGGGATTGACAGGAAGAAGGTCAAATTCAAAACAGCATCCAATAAACAAAAGCAAATTTGCTTCTCTTGGTATGGATGCTTTCAAGAGATGTGTGCAATTTGTAGCTGACTTGCCTCATGTTAAAGACAAAAATTCTGAGCTAGATGAGCAGTTTTCCTTTACCATATTTTGGCAGCTGAAGTCAACCCTTATAGAAGTAATTTGGGGACGCCTTTTTTACTCTCATTTCCCCAAGTTTTTTCAGAAGGTAGAAACATTAGATGGGAAAGTAGAAACTGCATCTTTAAAGAATGATTTACTGGATGAAAGTGTTTTCCTCTTGCAATTTCAGCAGGTCAAGCCAGATTATTTTACACTAGCTGATGTCTTCGAAATAGTGCTGAGCAATGGTGACCATTTCACAGTAAGCCTTGTTGAAAATGAGATTATCAAGTCGTTGTACACTGATGTTGAGTTCTATTCTTTAGTTGGACAACCTTTCTGCTTGATTTTTGACATAATGTATTCAAAAACTGGAACTGAATCCGTTGTTGAATCATTTTACCGAGTAGTTGAACAGCAAGAAATGGATGGTGGTCAAAGTATAGCGATGCTTGGCGCACGAGCAAAGGTTGATTGGTGCTTGCCTCCTGCCATTCAATGTGAAGATGCACTCAAGAACATTGCAAAATTGTATATTGGAGGTGATACAGAAGCTGGACTGCCTCGGCATTATGTGCCAGTGTATTCTGACTCTAGCCAGCAAAAAAAGAATTTGACGGGACTTTCAAAGGTTCTTGAAAGAGTAAAGAGTCAACATGTTAAATTGCCATTTCTTTTTTAAGTTCAGTGTGTAAATTATCTATGATTGTAAGCTAACTATATTGCATTTTTGGTGCTTTCAATTTGACAAATAGCCCTGACAACAATAAGACATTTCAAGGGACACCCTGTAGAGTGAATCATTTCTGCATAAACATTCAGTTATAGCATTTCCATAAAGCATCCAAGACCCTCAACAAGAAAAGAACAAACGTTTGCTTGTGAAACCCCTTTTAAGCAACTTAGCTCTTGGCACCTTAAAGATCATCGAACTACACAGTGTTGGAAAAAACTTTTGCTACCTCCTCCCTTGAAAAGTCACAATATATTGTACTTTAGTGAAATACTTATCAAATGTTTTGTTAAATTATTCAATTATATGCAGATAACTAATTTTTAGAGTTACTAATCATAAATTGTTGATTGTTGGGATTTGCTCTATATACTAAGATTCCACATAGATAGTATTCATTCTAGGTAGCGATATTCATTCCACTTATAATATTCACTCTAGGGCTTAGGCCCCCCCCCCTCCCACAAAACAAATTTCAATCACGGTTGTCTGAACTTTTTGACTGGTCTTCTGGACCTTGCAAAAATAAAAAATTATGTTCATATGTAATGTCAATATCAACCCCTTTTAAAAAATGTTAGTTCTCTGACTTTTCTTAAAACAGCTTTTGTAGCAGATTTTTCCCTCCCTTTTCCTTTGTTTTCGTTTCTTCTTTATTTTGTTTCTTTATAAAAATCGGCTCGTGTGGCATACTGTTTTTTACCAAGTTTAAGATTAGACTTTAATTTGAGTGTTCTTGTGTTGAAGTTTGTAAGAAAAAAGATTAATGAAAATCTTCAATTGTTTGAATTTTGGTTCTACCTCAATCCAAAAATACCGTTGAAGCCAAGGGGTGGTCCAAACAGTTACGTTCATGCTCAAGTTTTTTGGCTTATTCCGTTGTTTCACAATATTCTTGGTGAAAAGTGTGGTTTTCTCTACATGCCTTTCATAAAATCAGACTATTATTTTCATTTTCCTTAACTGTGTTTTCTCTACATGCCTTTCATAATTGGGGCTCTAGCACGAGTTGGAAAGTAGGAGGGTCATGGGGCAAATCAAAGACCCATAACAAAATATTTTGACAAACATAGTGGGCTATCATTGATAAATATCAATTTATTACAGCCGCGCAAAAATTTGTGAAATCCTGACGAGGGCGCGCAGTTCAGGAAATTTGTTGTCAACTTGTCCGCGCACATGGCAAACTTTCCAGTCTGGATCACGGGGAGCTCATCTTCCTCTACCAACCTATCCATTGTTTATATATCTCTCAAAGTTGCTCAGAGTTATTTCCTTACTTCTTTGAATGCCTATTGCGATTGTATAGAGAGCTATCCGTCCGTATTTCTGTATTTCACATCATTTAAGGTCATTTGCAATCGTTTGAGTGTCTTTAAACATCAATTAAACACAACTTCAACAACATCAACAAGACAACACAACAACATTAACTTTTTTTCATTTTCGATCAGCTGACTTTTTCAAAAAAGTAAATCATTTTCAACCAAAAACGATTTTCAGATGATGCAAGCTATGACAGGGGCGGATCCAGAGCCAATTTGAAGGAGGGCAGTCGATAGTAGGGGCGCTGAAAAATTTTCAAAAATTTGTGACGAGAGTACGCTGTATACAACAATTTCAGATCTATTTTCAGAATAAATAACATAACTTTGAGGCAATCCTTGAAGCATATTAGCCTATCGGTCTCAGAAACTATTTCACCTGATTCTCATTCTTCAAAAGGGGCGCAACATTTCCAAAAAAGGGGCGCAAAATTTCCAAAAAAGGGGCGCCAGATTTGCTTCAACTCATTGAGGGAGGGGCAACTGCCCCTAGTTGCCCCCCCTTTAATCCACTGAGCTATGAGAATTCTTGGTAGTTATAAAACGCATTCACTCGTATTTAGAAGCATGAACTGCTTAGTTTCCTTTTTATTCTGGTCTGGAAGGATTAAATTAGAAGCTGGATAGCTCTTTTAACGATCAACAAAATGCAGATAAATTCACCTTTCCAAGAAGATTCACAAAGTTGAAACAGAAATTGGCTTATACTGAAATAGAGTTTGTCAACAACAACAGTATGACAAAACAGCAAAACAGCTATCTATTTTGTATAGTATTTTATGTTATTCAAATTTTCATTCTTTGCGATATCTTTTACTTTTTTGCCTGCCTCTGAATCAGCGTAATCAATGACGATGAAATTGACGGTTTTATTGAATTGTCTTGCATTTTTTCGGCATGTTTTGGCTGCAGGGCTGATTCTGGTATTGCACCACGATGCAAGATCATGAATACACAAGCCATATGTCAGGTAGAGATCAAGCCTTATAAGTGATCTTCCTTTTTTTGCCTCTGTGAAGCAGTTCTCAGCAACTTTATCAGCAAGATTTATGCAGCGACTCGACGCTATGAAGGACATTGAATGCCATGTGTACCCCACGTAATGTTGCCAGAAAAGCCATGGCTCTGTAGCTGATTTTGATAGTTCAGTATGCATGATAATGTAGATTCTTTGATTTTTTGTGACTGCTCTACCAAGAGTTGCGTAGTAATTCGTTTGGACAGAAAGTTCCTTCGAGCTTAGCCGCTGCTGAGTTGGCTCCCATCGAGCTTTTATTTTGTTTATGATGTCTTTTCCTAGAAACGAATAGATAAGAAACATGCAACAGTAGTAGCGCCAGTTACTGCAGAGTGGGAGGATAATGGACAAGACGAATGAGACAACACTCTTTTTACCTCATTTCAGTGCTTCATACCTGGTGTAATTTTCTTAGACAAATCTTAAAAAATGTGACTCACCCCTGCCTTATTCATTTCCATCAATTACTAGAAGAATTATGTGAACGATGTTTGACGAAAGTGTGGGGATTATTACCCCTATACTACCCCTTGACACCACCACAGATTGATAGAACACAAGCTTTTCTTCCTACAGGTCAGTATTCTAGCAATTTTCAAATCCTACACGACACATTTTGTTTCCAAAGAGTAAATCATTTTTTAAAGAGATGCTTGCAAAACACTGCTTATACCTCTTATGGTAAGCAAGAAACCAGAGTCCTGATGTCAATTAGAAACTCTCTCGATTCAATTACTTCAGCAACCTATTTATAATGTGAATTTCGAGTGCATTTTGATTACCTTTAAACAAATGGTTTCTCTAAACTATAGAAATTATTATGGAAAAATACATATTTCATACTTCATGACGAGTTCAATGACTTCTTGGTTAGTCTTAGCAAAATTTCAAAATTCTGTCTTTGGCAAAAGAAAGTTTGGTGAAATGAATCTTTTCTGAAATTACGATAGTGGACTGGAAAGTTCCAAAATATGTTTACTAACAAGCAACTAGTGTAAACTAACTGTCATCTGGATATGTCACCATTTTCCTTTACTCTGAAAACCCTGAATATTTCTTGAATCATTTCTTTTTACAATATGCGTATGATCTATCAGTTATGCATATTATGATAGTATGTAATAATGCAATAATAATGAATATGCAATAATAAGATAATAACAGTAATAATGTAAGAAAGCCTACCGATTTTTCCAGGTTGCTCTGATTTATCGTAGTCTCTATTGAAATGAAGAACGACAACTTCCTTTCTATTCTTATTCATCCATGCATCGACTTGATCGAGCATTTTCGCGATTGAGCCACCATATGCTGCCATGTGGCAAGTATAGGCAGCATTTTCGTAGCTATTCCAACACGCATCGATGTCAAAGTACCTGCCAAGTAACATAGGAAATTTATCTTAAGCACTTGCTAGATAGCTAGAAAAATATATTCATCAATACAGGGACATATAATCAAGAGAGCAGCGAAAGGTTAAGAGCGCTGGTCCTTGTTGTTTCCAAAGCCTATTTCACCCGATTTGGTATCAATTTTGATGATTTATTCGACTCTAGGGGGGCTATAACTTAGAACACCTCATCCCCAAGTCCTGTATGCCGAAGTTGCCATTGGCGCTGGGTTGGGATCACTTTGCAAATTCCTCTAATCAATCGATATTACGGTATTTCTTCAAAGGATCAAATTGGCTATCGCTGGTTGCTAACGGTTGGTTGCTAAGCTTTCTTTCATTCTGTAAGTAACTGTGCTTAGTAATCCCTTACATATGCCTTTAGCTTTAGCTTAGGTGCTATGTCTTTACCATAGAAGACATATATAAATTTGAATATGGGAAATAAGATCAAAGAAATCGGCCATTGTCTAAGTTGCACAGCGAGTAACAGCTTGGCTTAGGAAATAGATCGAGAAACCTGATCCAGAATAACTTGGTGCCAACACAAATTGACTAAGTTTCGTTTTTTTCTATTGCCTAAACTTGGCTCACAAGGTCTATTAGCTAACAACAAATTTCTCAGAAACATAACAAAAAAAAGAGAAATCGCTAGCGATGTGGAAGGGAAAGAAACTGACGAAAAGAAAATTTTTGAGGACACGAGAAAGAAAGAATGGACAGATGTGTTCTATAAAAGTAACATCAAGAAAACCTCAAAATTTGATTGTATCGATAATCCATTCCTACTAAGAAAGACAATCTAGACGCAATTACAAATTCTATTTAAACTATTTTTGACCAGTGCAGTTTCAAAGTTTTAAAATCCAGATTTTTTGTTAAAAGCATCTTTTTCCGAAATATTTAAGATCAGATGTTACAAAACAATATCCCAAGTGTACAAATTGCTTAATTTGCTTTTATTTTAGTTTACAGTTCTTCTGCTTTTATTAAAATTGTACATATTGATTAAACAAAGCTTAAATATATTGCCTCGGATTTTCCTTCAGTCAAAATCGATTGACTGAAGCCCCTCCACTTTCAAATAGGTTTCGCCGGTGCTGCTCTTAGAGAAAGAAAAGCTGTCATGAAGGAATCTATTGAGCTTTCCCTAGTTAAAGAAGCGATCTATGTGAATATGTATTGCTGTTGGCATTCACCTTTGACGCTTTCTGTTTAGACATATATTCTGAATATCTTCAGTAATTGCTGATCATAGAACAATTGTTTCTCAAAGCTACCTTGTGTAGTTATTCTTTGAATACACGGCATTAATCATCGATGAAACGATCTGATTTTAATTCAGGGATATAGGAACCAAAGTTTACACTGCAAGAGCAATGCAAATAAAAAATTATAGACAAAAACACTTTTTGCGGTACTAAAACATTTTAAACTGATACACAACAATTAATGAAAAAGATTACTCTCCTTGGTATACCTATAGAGCCTCTTCGTAGTTTTTAAGAGCTGCAGCTTCAAAAATTAGGTCCAAAGGGGCACAATGGTAAAAGGTGACTTTTTAGAAAATCCAGACGTATCTTAAACCCCAGAAAATTCCATTTTACCAACTTTCACCGCTTGAAAGAATTAATGACTAGGTTCATCAGCGAGGACTGATTGGAGAGGATTTCAACTAATGAAGGAAAATCTAGCCTACCTACCTCTTTCTCGAAAGAAATCGCGTTTTCAGGAGATTGGCACTTTGTTGAAAATTCTGGCCATGTGTTCCACAATCTCTCATTTTTATTATTTCCACGAGCCCTGTCAATGCCCCAGTAACAGATTTATGTCTTGTTTTCAAAATTTGGCTGACAGTTTCTAAGTTACAGAGAGAGTCATACTCAAGAACAATTCTTTCTCGTTCACATTAGCCTACTAGAATTTGATGGCGTAGTATAGTATAAAAATCGATTATAGGCTTCTTAAATCAAATACATCAGTTTTGTTTTTGAAATCATAATTTCCTTTATATTATAAAAACAGGTCTTGAACCCACTTCCCACCATTTCTCAAGAAATTCCTAGTTCAAGCAGGCTCCCTAAAAATTGATCCTTTGGCAGACCCCCTTCATTTTCATGGTTGGCTACGAACTCGGTAACTGTTGATAAATGTACTTGTGCCCGTTTTATGGTTAATGATTATTGTGCACTCTTGGTAAAACAGTTTGTTCTTAAGTCATGGCAGGTAGCAGGTGGAGGAAATCTCTATGTGTAGCAATTATGTAACTGTTAATATTTCTACTCCATAAGGCAATGCGAATTCATTTGACAGTACCATGGATATGCCAAAATGCATATTGAACAACTAATGCTTTAGATAATATTTTAAGTATCATAGAATCTATGAAAGACACAATACAGTCTAATACAAGATAGATTTATTGGTTCAAAAGTTACTTTGGAGAGATATGCTTTTAATTCAAAGGAACAAAAGACAAACAAGTTACTGGTTAAGCTACATTCGCACAATTCCTGCGCAAATTAAACTTTCTTGACGAAGAGTACACTCATTTTTTTATAAGAAACTGGCTACATGAAACGAATACTGGACAGTCAGAAAATTTAAGAAACTTCAGTACTCGAAGCAAAAAAATAAAGAAACTATTAAATCGTGATAAAACTGAGAACAACGAAATTTTGTAAAACCCAAGAGCACGATTGCCCTGTTGGCCTAGAACTTAAGACGCACGGGATAAAAGTATACTTCCCACATCTAAATACAGCATCAGAATGGAAGCGTCAGAACATTTCATAACATCATTCATGACATCATCATTAAGAAATTCTTAAGAAACAATGAGTATTGAAATTTCCAGAACATCAAAAAACTGGAGTAATCAACATCGACCTTTGTTTCTTATAAAAAAATTTAGTGTATCTCGTTAAACCTTTACATCAACTGGGAACCATTGGGCAAATTATCCAGCATTTAATTAAGGGAGAAAAAGTTGGTAGTCTTATTTATGAACTGCAGAGCTATTCACCAACGTACCTGATTCCTAAGTCCAACTGCCCGGTTATACTGGCCCCTTGGTTACGGTAGAAGCAACTTAGGGCCTTAACTCCACTGCCGTACCAAAGATGTCCATCGAACCCGGCACCAGAATTGTGTGTACCTGCCAAAGTTACTTGGTTTAGTCTCAATTGACAAAGGCCAGCCAGCCCGTTGCATGTTTGCTCACAAGCAGCAGAAACGACAAATATGAGAAAAATTACTGTTTTAAAAATAGCGATATTGTCTGTTTGAATCATTTTAACATCAAGCTCGTAGAAAAATGACTCTGACAATGTAAATCAACGCTTTAAAGAATACCTTGATTTTATTTATAAATAGTTAAGGGTTCTCTTCAAACACTGGTAACGCTGAGTGACCATCGTGCGTATGATTACCTGAACCCGTAACGAATTATCGTGGTCATCTCGCCAAATACAGCTGGAAATCACTGATCACTAAATTGTGAAATACTCAGTAATCACTGGGTATTTCGCAATTTAGGGCAAGAGTTCTTGTTACGAATTTGTTTAGCGTGAAAGCTGCATCTACTTATTGAAAACTTGCAGCACCAATGTCTTTTTAAGGCAACCTCTTCAAAATTTGGTACCGTTTTAAAGGACTTGTTTGATAAATAAGAAAGTTTGAATGAAAAACGCTTACTTTTCAATAGAATTGTCTCAGTGATGAGTAACTACAAGCGAATGTATCAGACTCTACAAGAGTTCTTGTTACGAATTTGCTTAGCGTGAAAGCTGCATCTACTTATTGAAAACTTGCAGCACCACAGTCTTTTTAAGGCAACCTCTTCAAAATTTGGTACCGTTTTAAGGGCTTGTTTGATAAATAAGAAAGTTTGAATGAAAAACGCTTACATTTCAATAGAATTGTCTCAGTGATGAGTAACTACAAGCGAATGTATCAGACTCTAAAGTAACAAGTCGTTGAAGGGGCTCGCGTAGTATGCATCCTCGTCTTTTCTTTCCACTATTTTGTCTAGTCTAGTCTAGTATACCTCATTTTTCTATATCATTTCTACTTGCTTATCTATGTCACCTTTATCTACCAATTCTTGGAAGATCAAATATGATGAATCTTGCGGATCAAATCTGGTTGTTAAGGAAGTCTACAGCTCTACGTTTCAATAGACCTCGTTCTTACTATCAATAACTATAAAAACATGCGAGTTTAGGTAGGTCTTGCTCGGATAAGCAACCGCCATACTTAACTCGGTTCCCTGGACAAAATTAATTTTCCTTAATGGCTGTTATATATTTGCATGCTGATTGGCCCAGTATCAAAAAAAGGAAAGCTACATAAAATATGTTCGGTTACTTTACAGTTAACCATGCTTTCTAACAATAAGGAGGTAATGCACCAAACTGTTCAATATGGCTTCTTCATTTTAGAGTATAGTTATTATATAGTTGTTATTATAAATATAACTCATTGTTATAGTTATTTAACGCTAATGCATGTTTTTATTCTCTTTAATTACTTCATCAAAAAAGTTACTTCTTCATAGGGCTTCACTGATGATAACTGATCACTAAAGACTAAAATGGATAATTTTGGATCTTCACAAGGGTCTTCCTTGTTTCAAGCGACCGCAATGGCTTTTTCTTATCAGAAAGCAGAGACAAAACACCAATGAAGTCAAATTTGATGACACACCAACATAACACATGGTATGTTAATACTTACTAACCCTGATATGATCTACTCTATTTTGATACACAAAATTTAGTTTCAGAGGCCCTACTGAACAAAATTCAAACAAACTTTAATTTATTACAATAGTAATATTTACAGCTATTAGAACAATAGCATATTACAAAAATAGCCATCATGCTCTTATTTGCCAACAAAATTAATAAACAAAGCCTCTTAAAATTAAGATCTAGCGTCAAACTGCAACTCAGAACTATAACAAGCTTCGCACGCGTTACTATTGGCTATCAGCTATTTTTTCATAGAAAAGCAAATATGCATTACTTGATAGTACGGATTGTTTCGATGCGGGCTTCGTGTATTCATCTGAAGAGTAGACCCAGTTGTCCTCGGTTTTAACAGCTCGTCTATATGTAACAAAATGCCCACTGGAAGTATCTCCAATATGAACGACAACTGCATTCAGACGGTAACATGACCTGCAAAGAAAGACTCCCAAAGGTAATGAAGAATCCCAAAAGAAAGGCAGAAGAGACCGGCCTCACCATTACAGGGCTCATTCCGTTGGTAAGGGTCTGAAATACTTCCGTCCGAAATCCAATAGGCTGATGAAGCGGTGGGTTAAAGCTAAATAAAGAAAAGTAAGGGTAGTTGGAAGGCACAGAGAGGGTAGTGGCAGCAAAACTTGGCAACAAATAGTCTTCGCTTCTGGAGGTTCTCCGTTCGTAAATAACAATGCCATGCCGATGCTTTAACTGAAAATTTGTTCTCTACTTTCAGGTCGCTTATTCTTAGGATTTCATCATTTAGGTATTGAAGAGAATAATTCACCTATACGTATATTCACAGATATTCTCTAACTCACGGAAACATCTTCCGTTTCTCTCGTACCCTTGTGAAACATCAAATGAAATTAATATTATTAAGTGAGCCATTGTCTTCAGAAAATATGCTCTGAAATCTTACTTCGAGGAATATGAGTCTCTGGAAGCTTGCTCCAAATGAAAGTTGCTACTGCCGCCTCTTAAAGGAAGACTTGCCGCAGATTGCGATTCTAGTGAAGATGTCTTTTGACTCTTCAGCCTGTTGTTATAGGCGAATGTGTTGTATCGATATGCATTCAAGTCTATGACATCACTGTAGCGTACGAACTGACTGTTTTTATACGAGTAGCCATTTGGTAAGAAGTAGCTCCTTTGGATGTGTATACAGAGACATTTCGGTAGCTGGAATAGAAATTAATGCAATGCAAATTATTCAGTTTAAAGTCTTAACTAACAGCACAATATCTACAGCTTTATCAAGTTAGATATCCCCTAAACCACCATCTATATCCTCGTTACAACCAGATAAACTTCTAATGTCAATTATCAACAAATCCTTCCAATGCCAGCAATATCAATAATACTCCGGGAAATTTCTTCTGTTTGAATTTTTATTCTGCGTAGGCATAACATGCATTTGCAAACATGTCACTCAAATCTCAGTAAAGTAATACTACAGGTTGTTCATAGCAGCCTTCTATTCAGATATAGTTTACATATGTCGGATAATTGATTAAGGTACGTAAACATGAAAACTGAACCCTTCAAAGCAGCCTTTAATAGCTGTCATACTGATTGAGAAAAACACATTCCCCAAACGAGCCATACATGACAGCAAAGCTAATACCTAATACCTAATATCGGCAAGAAAGTTCAGGGAGTTTTAACGAAGGGCAAAATAACACTTGAAAGTTTCAAGACTTTGTTTAGTATCCTTTCTTATCGCAATTAACATGATACAAAAATAATCTGATCTTTACGTTATATCGTCTCATTCAAAAGCCTGAATTCACTAACCCCCCTTCAACCCCCCCCCCCTCCCCACGTCCGAGAAATTCGTGACACTGACCTTAGCGAAAGACAGCTGCTTTGAAAACGAGCTTTTGACAGGCCGGGATGAACGTGCATTCCTAGTACAGCCAGGGCAATTGACATCATCAACATGTTCACTCTTTGTAAATTCTGCAATACAGTTTTCCAATTTTGCACCAGCCTTAAATAGAAATATAAAGCGGTGATTTGAAACGCTAAATAAGAATCACTGAGGACAGAGCATCAGGGGGTTAAAAATAATTACTTATCAGGCTTAATCTTCTAGGGCTGCAGACCTGCTTGTAAGAAATATTGATAAATCTTACAAGCAGACCAAGGAAAGAATGTTCGACACTAGACCCCTTGTTAGATGCTAGATCCATTGTTAGATGCTGGATCCCTCGTTAGATGCTGGATCCCTTGTACTATACAAGAACAGATAATGATGTCAAATATAAGCATTTATAGGCATTAAGATAAGGGTACCAGGATAACATAAGAAGAATAAAAACTGAAAGGATAATCAAAATTTTCAAGATAAGAGTACATTTGTCATACCAGAGCAGTGAATTTTGGTATCCTGACGGAAATACTTTCGAATGGATCAAAGCCAACTGACTAAAATGAAAAAGCAACAGTAATGCCAAATTGCCGTTATCATGCTGTATTCAAACAAGTTCCATTGTTTAATTATGAATATCCACATTAAATTTTAAAAGTAGGAAAAATCCTATGGTTTTGTCCAACACAGGATTGACAAATTATAATATTAGACTCACTGAGTGATAATATTGTAATATAAAAAAACACCAGCAAGAATATGCGTAGATATGAAGGTAAAAATATGTATATATAACACACCTGATATCCACATTTCAAACACGTCATTCGATTTGCTAGGATGCCTTTAAATGGTGAGGGTGATGCCAAATTTTTCGCTAAAAAGGCATAGATAATTTTAAGAGATGAAAAAAATAAGTATAAGTAGTGCCATGTTGAACATACATAAAAACTATACATAATCACTTCAAGACAAAAGTAAATCAGGGGCAAATAACACCACAGTATGAATACTGCCTACAATTGCTTATTACCTTGATCAGGCATGGGGTTCTTAGATGGCTTCAAAAACTGATTTGTAAAAGCAAAGACAAACATATTTTTGTCTGGCATTGAGAGCATATTTACTTTCTAAAAAGGCCTTGTTTGCATATACTTGTGTCAAAGTCATTAATGACGATATGTTTCAGATAATAGGCAGAGCCAGGTCGTCTTTTCATCTACTTTCGTCTTTTCGTTTTTTTCTTAGAATTAAATCGGTCACATGCTGGCGTTTTACATCTTGACATATAATTTACATCTTGTTCTTTCATACCCTTCTTCTCACGTTTTATTCTCTGAGGAGTGTCAGATGGAAAGCTATCAGTATGGCGTAAAATGTTTGCTTTTTTAAAGCAATTTTAAAATTTTGTACGGCCAAAAAATTGTTTACATCCTTAAATGATTTGATATGTTTTCACTTTATTGTGCCATTTTGACACGATTTCATATGTCCCATCAAAGTTGGCTTCAGAAATATTTGGAAGAATCTCTTTCAGCTACCTGGGATTTCTCGACAAACTCTGCCATAGACGTTTTTTAAGAACTCTGAATTCTCCCTCTACAATGAAGAAAATTGTATTTAACTCTTCAAAGGTAAACTGCCTTCATATAGGATAAATTGTGACTAAATTGGGGTTAACATAGTAACAGTTGCCTGGCATGAAACTCAGGGATGCAACTTACAATGGTCTGTTTTACACACCAAAGCACAAGAAGGTCAACCTATATTGCGTTAAGCACTACATGACAGATGGATAGAGAGTAATTTCCTTTAAAATTGGATTGCATAAACAATAAATATTGAGATGGAATTAATAGAACATCATACAGTAAATAAAAGTTTTATGTTAGATAAAAAGGAACGCCTTTATGCATATGAAACATTGAACAATATCCAAAAGGTGTACAGAGCATATTTACCTCATAAGGAAACCCAGGACAATCCTCTGAATCTAAAATCTAAGTAAAATGAATCCTGAGTTTAAAATAATCAAAAAGGCACAAAAAACCTCAAGAACTGGAAAGGGCAACTACTCCAAGGTGAGGTCTTTGATGATCTTTGATGTCTCTACTGCAATTCATCTACCATTCTATTGACATATAAATGCAAAATTTGATATATCTAATGTAAATCAGTCCCAGCAATAAGACTTTTAGCAGGGGACCAGTAAACAGCACTCCAGTAATTTTCAGTTGAGCTATTTTTAGCTAAATAAGAATAAAAACAAAAGGAATAATGGATTTCAAGGAGAGCAATCTGTAGCTCCCTTACAGCATTTTAGGATCATCTGAAGAGGAGCTAGAGCTATGGCTCCTCAAATGGCCAGGCCTGTAAATCTTACCCTACAAGTTTTTATTGCATGGAGGCTTTACTGTAGAAGATTGAGCACTCTAGTACTTACAAGCTCATCATCCAAAGTTGACATCAATATTTGAAAAAACTCATAAGCATCCTAAAATAAATATTCCAATAGTTTATATTGAATTAGAAGAAACCAAACCTGATGAGTAAAATCAAAAGAGGAGGGTTGCAAACAATAAGGCAATAATACAAGTACACAATCATGGATGTGTTTGTTTCCACAGGATTAATAGACTACAAAAATCCAACTTTGCATTTTCATTCCTCGACACACTGTTGTTTGGAATTGTCTGCTAATTCCCTTTAAAATCAAATGATTGAAAATAAAAATTATTCATTTAATTCAGTTATTGGGTTATGGATTTTTGAAAATAATACAATTTCATGGTGTGATTATGCCAGGATACATCAGGAATCTTATTGAAGATACCCAACTCCCATTGTTAAAGAGAAATGTAGGTGAGTAAAACCATATAAAGATGTTCTATACTTGGCTGTATATCAAAGTAATACATTTAAACCATGTCCAGCCTTTCCCATTCCCAAGATTCTTTGGGTCCCTAATACTCTCAGCAGCACCTCTTCACATACCATCTTAAAAGGGGCAAACCAAGATTGAATTGGATTAAAGATAGTACCCAGTGACAAGGCCTTAGTGCAGTGGAAGAAAGAAGGAAAGCAATTAATAGTGCAGCAGGGAGGAAGATTGTCTATGAGTTGTCAAGGATACAGAATAAGGAATTGAACTGAAAACTCTCAGCACAATGTCTTAATTCTATTCAGGTCAGTGTTTGCTGTAAGTTACTTAGGTCAGGCAGTTACTTTAATCACTCAATCATGGAGCAAATAATATATTAGTGCTGAGAAAAATATTTTGCACACCTGTTGCTGTAATGTCCCAACCCATCCATGTGCACTCAATGACTCAATTACATCCATTGCAGAAAACAAATCTTTTTCAATACCTCTTTTGTTGTTAAGAACTTAAAAAAATAAAAATAGCTAATAAAAATTATTTTAATAGAAAAGCAGGAAAAAGTACCAAAATATAAATCACATAAAGAAGCAAAGTAATCTGCCCCTTTACAGGACAAAACTTCTTTTACAGAGACAGTAAATAAACAGCATATAAAGTGTTGAGTAGGGGTATATTTAGAGATAGTAAATTTGATATTTTGAGTTCTCTCTCTGCTAGTTGGTAAAGGAAAATGAAGATAGATTTACATCCAACAATATGATATAATTTATAACATTGATTCTTCAAATTGACTGCTCCTTTAAGATAAAGCTGAAAACCTCAGTATAGAGTAAAAAAATGATAAGTTAATATAAAACTAGCACAAGTTTGATAAAGAAGAAATCTGGCAAGAAAATCATAAAGATAACAAAAATTAGGAAAATTTGTAATGTCTGTCAAGCCTATTGCCCGGGAAGCAGAAACAAATTATCATATATACTTTCACATGCTACTTTACAAGCGATTGTAAGTGTTTTACATGCCTCTTCATTCAAACTTAATATCAAAACACAGTAGAACAACAAAAGAAATACAAACAGTAGGAAAGAAAAGGCTGCATGCACCTAAAAGTAAATAGATACTTTATCCAGATAAACAAAGTCAGTGTAGCATTTACTTGAGCGGTTGAAAAGAATTTTACTAGAGCTATACAGAAAAGTGGACTTCCAGCAACGCATATGTCTATATTAATGTGACAAAGATTTGATCATGCTATTTGGTAAATAGAACAGGATATTTCTAAGTTGCACATCCGTGTTTCACATTTAATGCGATCATTAGGAACTGTGTACAGCTCTGACTGTACGGCATCAAGAACTTTATGGCAAACCAGTAAACAGTGGCTTTCATTATTTGATCAAATATTAAGGAGTAATTAAAAAACATTTGGTACAACAACATTGGAAATAAAAAGTATTGAAAGGCAGAAACATGTTATACTGAAGTATTTTCTGCCCAAAACCTTTCAGAGTATAATTGTCAGATAATGAATTAAGAAACAATAGCAGCAAGTCTTTACCTGGAATAATTTCTTTCAAACTGCTTAACAATATTTTTTCCTTGTCTTGATTGAAATCATCAATCCACTTACAGAAATTATTCAAAGAAGCTACAGCCTAGAAAAAGAGATAAAAAGCAATTTTCTAAAATAATCAATGCCACCTAAAGATGAACAGGTATCTGACTTCAAACAATGATTTGGTGTGGATTAAAACTGAGTGCATGCTGTTGTCTAAAAACAAGTTAACATTATTACATTTTTTTACAGCCACTTTTTGACACTTGGTCTTCAAAACATCATATGTACATTTATATCTTAATGTTTGCTAGCATTAAGACCTTAAGGTCTAAGAAATGAAATATCAAATCATGCATCACATCATACATCAAGTCAGAGAGAAGACATTTAGAAAATTATATTCCGGTTAATAGCTTATGACTGTGACTGTGTAAAACAACAAAGTATGCAGACTTTTAAAGTTAAAGGGCCTCTCCAGCCAAAAAAAAATTGTTTTTTTATTGACTAAAAAGTTAGTATCTGGTGCGTGTATTATGGCAAAGTTGTTGTTTTTGCAAAGTTTCGATTAGTTTAGAAGTTATAAGGCTTTAAAGTTGCACCTTTCCGAGAAAAAAACGACAAAAGCCGTATCAGTTTTGTGACATTCTGACGTCACAGTGTGCGGCTCTCGTTCGTCATGAATTTCGTATATCTTCCACCGAATCGCGAAGGAGTCATGGTCACGCGTTGATAACTGCATCTAAATCTACAGCAGGTGCTTTTTAGGATCGAAAAATATTAAATGTTTACAATTATTCTAAGTTTGCGGGTCGGAATGTGTCCATGCTGTGTCACGACTTTGTTTTGATCACCTGTGTAGGCCCACAAAGCTACGGCTTCCTGTTCCAGCTCTTCCCTCGCGTATAATTAATCGAAATTGACACTTCAAGTTGTTTTCCATAAACGATGAACAACTAAAGGCTTCAGAATTGATATCTGAAATGCTCAAACTAAAAGCCGGTGGAACAGAACTGAGAGTACCAACAATTGCAGTGTTCAATTTGCGAATTGCCGACGTTCGAGTTTGAGGCGAGACTAATGAAATACACTGTGACGTCAAAATTGCGTCACAGTGTCACCAAACCAAAAAATTTTTGTCTGTTAATTCAATTCAATTATCGAAATGCAAGAGCTTATATCTCACAAACTGTAAAAAATATCAAAAAACGAATAACGAATTCGTGATCAGCAGGTTAAACTCCTTTAGATTAGCCAATAAAATGCAATTGCAAATTTTGGCTGGAGAGGCCCTTTAAGAGTTGAATTAGCACTACAGTACTTCAATCTTAAAAAGTACTTTGAAACTAATCCCTTGACTGACTTCTTTTATTAATGGGGTGCCAGATTGCATACAAAACAGTTTGTTTTGTAATTAACTAGGACAAGCCTTGTGAAAGTTTTTCAGAAATTTTAAGCTAATAAAATAGATTTAAAGGAAACAATTAGTTGAAGGAATTAAACTTAGTAGTATTGGAACCTAGTTATGCATATTATATCAATTATGCAAAATGCCAAAACTTCAAACAGCTACTTCAAAACAAATAGACAAAGCAGCAGTTTCAACATAATGTTGACCTTTGTTGCATTCACAATTCACTACAAATCAAATAGTGCAGCAAATGTAATACAGGCTATAACATTGTAACAATTGTGGCAAAGACTTTGATGAAGGAAACATGGGAATAAAATTTCATATACCTGGAGAAGACAGTTGATAAAACATGTGTTTCCAAGATTTATCAAGCCTGGTGGCAGACCTATGTAGAAAAAGGTTTCAAAGAAGGTTAACTTGATGCTTATTAACAGTTACGATTTTGTTAAAAAACATCTTCTCTATATCTTACATGGCGAAAAGCTTGCTTTATTATTTTCCTAAACAATTACAATTATCTCAATGCCAGCCCATATTGGAAAACCTCTTTCCCATATCTATTGGTCTTAACAGGCTTTTTTTTGCTAAACCACCTTTGTGACATTTATATACATTATAAAGACTAAACATAAGGAATTGTGCATATCTACAAATTGGCCATGTCTTTATCTAAAATTTAGGTAAGGCCTGGATGTTACTTGACACAGAGGCAAGACATTATTAAAACCAGACGACAGTGCCTATATGTTTCTTGAAATCAAGACAAGATAAAAACTTTTGGCAAATCAAATGTTGGGACTAAAGAGAAAGAAGATCTAGGGTAAGGCCCCAATAAAATCAGAAAGGGGAAGAATAAGTATCTCCGAAGCAAGCTGGGCATCATTTGCATGAAAACTTTGATAATTTTTCAAATAATTCTAAAAATAAGTACATTAAAAGAAAATTTATTTAAAAAATTAGGTAAAAAACCAGGGGGTACAATTGTCCACCATAAACCTTTAAAACCTCTAAAATGACACAACGGTTTTCTATATCATAGCCTCATTTTACTGCAAGACACAGCTTCGCTTCGCCTGGTGTAACACTTATAATTGATTGTTTATTGTTATCATGACACTAAACTAGACTGGTCATAGATGAAAATAAATACTGTATTGTATTTATTAACATCTATTCTCTGTTACCCTTTCTTATTCTTTTTGACTTCGAATCGCCGGTTTTTTCGCTCTTCGCAACTCCTCCGCCTCTTCTAAACAACCAGATAAAAGCAGCTAAAGCCAGTGCTCCAGGCAGGCCTAAAACAACAGCGAGCTTTTTTGAAGTCCATTTTGGACTGTTGGTATTGATATCCAGGTAGCGCTCCATGAAATTAACGTCCTTTTTGCGAAATTTCAACCATCCGTACCACCTCGAAAGTTTCGTGATCATGAGCGGTTATGTTATGTTGCTGTAGTTGTTTCTCGGTGTTATTGCTGTTGTTGTCGTCGTTTTTTGGACGCCTTCGGGCTTTTTCAGGTCCCAAAAAGTTACTTGTTTCAGTAATAAAAAACTTTCAAATTAAAATTTTCCTTTCTTTAAACGTTTGTTTCACCTTTCCTTTTTAAATTTATCTTAACGACATCCCAGCAGACAGGCTTGAATACTGTGTTAAGCTGTTAAGAATTGCTTTTAAATTCGCTAGTTCGGAATTAAATATTAATCAGAGTTTCTTCAGAAAAATGGGCGACCGTATCATTTTTAACATATTAATCGAATCGAAGCATAGAATACAGTAAAATCTCTATTAAGCGTCCTCTCTTTTAAGGCCCCTTAGCTATTAAGCCCCCTTATCAAGCAAAAATTTGAAAAAATCTGTGTTGTAGCTGCTTCTGGCTTTGCTTTATTCGATACGCCCTGTGGTTCTTGTTTATCCCCAACCCAAATATGTGTGCTTATGGATGCGGTGTAAATATCTATAAATAAACATATTGGAAATAATTCAAAGATGGACTTTTTCTTCAATATCTTTTTTAACTGCTTACAGCTTTATAAAATTTCCATGCTTGAATGGCAAATGATACTCAGCTTTCAAGAACTACAAATTTTCACCCAGCAGGTTTACGTTGCAACAACGATGTGGCATAAAGATGACAGTCATGTTCCTATATTCTGCAACATATTTGAAACGGTGTAAAAATTTTGTGCATGGAACATTTGCATTTGCTTTTGATCCAGGGCCTACTAGTCATTCGAACCAAAATATAATGTCCTCGCTCAGTAATGCGTTCAGTAAATTATCTGGTCGCTTCCTCCAATTTTTCTCAAAGGATCAGAATGTTGAGGTGTTTTCTCTAGGTTTAGCTATTTTACAGCCTGTTGCGTTTCGTGCCCCGGGCCGGATCTCAGACTAGCTCCTTTTGAGGGATGTTTTTCTAGGAACCTCTTGTTCACAAGCGGCTCGATTTGATTGATTGCCATCTTCGGAATCCGACATCTGAGCGCGTTTCTGATAGTTACTGTTTAATTTTTTAACAAAATGATACGTTGCGAGCTACACGGCGATGCTTACTGTCTTCTGCAGTTATCTGCGTACTTTTACGGTTTACGATTTTGTATGGGGTTTTGCTGATTCGTGTCGTTAATTTTTCCCTTTTTAGTAGGCGGACAAGAACAGTATCTCCAACTTGAAGGTTGCTCTTCCGTTCTTTTCTACGTTTGTTTGCATATGTTTCTTGCCATGAACGACTGCGTTCCTTGTTCATTCTAGCTCCTTTGTGTCGATTTATTACGCGATGGTTCTCTAAAGAAGGGAAATTTCTCTGCACTTTCCTGTTGAATAACAACTCTGATGGTGCAATTTTCGTTGTGCTGTGGCGTGTAATACGATACTGAAACGGTTCAGTTCTTGCTGCCACTCCTTTCCTTCTGCCACTGCGCTTTGTATGGCCTTGATGCGTTCGACTTCTCCATTCGCCTGCGGCCAGCAAGGTGTGACGGGTTTATGGTTTATACCAAGGATCTTAACATATCGTGCAAACTCTTCACTCGAGAATGGTGGACCGTTATCTGTCTTAATTTCACGTGGCATGCCATGTACCGAAAGTATTTTGTCCAGATTCGAAATGACAGTTAATGCTTTCGTGGATCGCGCATTTTCCCTGCACTTTCCTGTTGAATGACCACTCTGATGGCGCAATTTTCGTTGTGCTCTGAGGTATATTACAATATTGGAACAAAAAACGGTCCAGTTCTGGTTGCCACTCCTTTCTTTTTCTACCACTGCGCTTTGTATGGCCTCGATGAGAGGCTGATTGAAGCGTTCGACTTCTCCATTCGCCTGCGCCCGTATAGGTATCACTGATTTATGGTTTATAGCGAACATTTTTGTATATTGTGTTAACCCTTCTTTCACCGTTGCCTGTCTTTATTTTTAAGTGGTATGCTATGTACCGAATATATTTTGTCCAGTTTCGGATTGACAATTGATGCTTTCGTGGATCGCACAATTTCGGTTTCCGGAAATTGCGAATAATGATCAATGACGACTAAAAGATGATCTCCTGAAGGAAGCGGTCCACAGAAATCGATATAAACAGTTTCCCTTGGTCCTTTAGGAGAATCAGTTTGCTGCAAAGGTTTTGGTGGCGATGATTTACCGACAACTTGACAAGTGATGCACGAATCTACGCTATGCCGAGCAAGGTTTTCCATAACTAGGAACTATACCTTTTATCATGGCAGGTTGTTTTGGAAAGACCTTGGTGAGCTTCGTGGGCGATATCTATAGCTCATTGCTGAAGTGATTCGGTATAACTGAACGAACAGTGAGCTCATCGTTGATTGCACAAAAAAGCTTTAAATGGTCAGAAGCTTGCCATCTTCAAAACATTGCGAGCTGCTATACGAATAAATAGAATCTATTTTTTCGTATAGCAGCTCGCAATGTTTTGTTGTCAGTGTCGGTAGCACTCGCTATTTCGTCTAGCGACATAGCTGTAGGCACAGAGTGACTCGTAATCATGTTTACGTACTCCTCCTCGATTCTTTCTTGTTTACGCGATAGTTGACTGGTTGGGTTTCTGGAAAGATAATCAGCAGGGTTTTCACTTCCTGCCTTGTACTGCACTTTAAATGAATAAGGTTGTAGTTGCACAACCAATCGCTCGATCCAGGGGCGGATCTAGACAATCGCACCGTTCGCACATGCGACAGTCAACTTTTAAATTTATATTAGAAATCCGTCTCAAAAGAGGTTTCTCCTGAAAATCAACTTTCTCTAAGTTTAGCGCTTATTGGCAATTTCCCATTTGTGTTTTGCATTTGCTCGGGAATTATTCTTCATGCATGATTCTAGCCTGACCCTAAACACATGCCAAATCTTAAACACAATCTCTTATTCTATTCTTGATCTTGATTCAATCTGATTCGAATCTCTAAGCATCCTAACTAAATGTGTTCGAAAAAGCCATGGCATATTTACGTGGCAATTTCCCTTTATTCAATGTCATAGGTGGCTGACCATATTCTACAACTGTCTAATACTGAACTCCTACCACTTTTTTGGATCACCTGCATATTTAGGAAGATAAAGCTTTGGTAGGTATACCTCAGCGCGAGATGCGGCAATGGGCTGTAGGCTAGGTGGTGGTGAATTACCTTGCTGCTGATTTGGAGAGGAAGCTAATACTCTTGCTTCTTATTCTACTAGTTGAGCCTGAATTTCGCTTTGCCAAACTTCAGATTCTATAACCTCATTTTCATTCTCGCTTATTTGTAAAAAAACCTCCTCATCAGTTGCTCGCAAAACTTTTAATTTGTCCCGTAAAGCAATGCATAAACGTTCGATTTGGGTTTAGGGGGGTTCAGATTTGCAACAAAAGTTTCTGCTTCTGAAATTAGCTTTCTAGTATAAGCACGATAACCATCCCTTATATTTTTCTTTCTCGAAGGTACAGGGTCTGACTGGCCTGTGGGGGGCACGGTACTACTATCACCCTTTTGAGACATCCCAGTTCAAATAAAAAAATATAAGTAATAAGAAATACTCATTAAATTCAAGAAAGAAAATATTCAAGAAACAACACTTCGGCTCGGTGGACCATGTAACTTAACCTGCATAGGTTCAAAATTGAGCCAAAGGGCTGGCAGGCTAGATATAACCCAAAAGGGTTCGCAATTGATTCAAGAGATTCATAATTCCACCATAAACGATTAGAGGACTGTATAATTTTCAAATAAGAAAATCTCAAAGAATAAAATACAAATAAACTATCAATTCAGAAACTTTGAGCCGAACTTCGATATCTTCAGAGTAGGTTCGTAGTTATCACAAAATTAGGAATAAGTCAAGAATTAAGCTGAAAGTTCATCACCTGGAAGTCTTCGATTCTATTCACGTTCTTTCGTCTTTCGATAGTTGATTTAATCCATAAATAACACGAGTTAATCCATTACAAGTTCGATATTCCTCAGTTCTTTCGATAATCCAAATACAAGTTCAATATATTCCAGCTTCTATTTTTTCGGTACCAATAATTTTTCTGGCAATTCTTTATATCTTAATTTACTTCCATTCACTAAATTCAGGCAAATTAGATCCACTGTTGCAAACAGATGTGCGTGTTACAATTTTATTTTTGTGTGACGTTAAGTCGCCTTCACCTTCTGTTTTTAAAAGCAGCAGATCGATTGCAGAATGCTTGATAACTCTCCAGAGTCAAAAACGGACATTGCTAGATTGTCAAAATACTTAATGTCGTTCAAAGCAATGATTTTGATTACAAAGGATTTAAATCTTTGAAGCAAGTTGACATTAGAATAAAAATATTGTAGCTTAGACAAACAAAAATCAATGCTGAGTAGCAAAACCTAGAACCTATTAGATGAAATATAACTTTCCCAAAAATATCGAAGACCAAGAGAAATTATCAAAATTTATCTCTATCTGAGAGTTAAATCCTGCAAGGTTGCATGCGCCTAGCAACCAATTATTGTTAATGCATAATTTTGTTTTGTTATGTTACTAACTAATTATACTAATGTTACCAAAATGGAGAGTTCATATTATTCACAGAGGGGTTATTACACAATTAACTACGTTTCATGTATTATGTTTTTTGCGTCAGTAGTTACGAGTAGAGTTGAACTAACACGAGTGTAAATTGATTGCCAGAAAAAATGTTTGAGATAAAATTTGACTTCTTCTTTGTCGTTGCCCAACAGTGTAACCAGCGGAGTGTTGGGTTATGAAGTTCCCAATAATTACTTATAAATTCTTTAATTGAGTTATTATTTATGGGCTCTATTTCCATGGGCCCCCGGGTCAGTGACCCCTCTGACCCCCCCTCTCCTCAGCACTGCAACACAAAGGCAGTACGTCGCGCCGTTCATTGGTTTATTGAAACAAAGAGCAAAATTGCATCACGGTGCGTAGGTGGGATGATTTCCGACCTTATTTCTGCATCGTAAAGGGTTTGGTTGGATTCTTGCCCCGCCAGTATCTCTTCATCGTATCAAGGTGAGTATGCTTACATTCATATAACTGATGAAAAGATGTAAAAATTCAAAACAGACAAACATATAGGCTATGCTATGCCAGACTTTCCAACTGGGAGGTGCGAAACGATTTTAGAGAAGCATTTATCTTAATCACTATCTTGTCACTTGAAGTTTTTGAATTTTTCACGAAACCTTTTTAAGAACAAGAAGGTCTCATGGCCAAAAAGTTTTGCTATGAATATCTTGGTATATTCTGGATTCTTTTTGTTTCAGTGTGCGCCATAGGCAGGTTAAAATTGAGCCATGAAGATACAAACCCTGCTTCTCTTGCTTGTCGTTGTTGCTGGAAATTGTAAGTACAACTGATCTCAATCTTTTTTGATAAATCTCCAGCGCCTTTTTCGTTTATGAAAAGATGAACATTAAGATTTCCGTTTGATAAATTTCTTCCTATGAAAAACACTGTATACGTCATAATGATACGATTACTCGTAGCAGTGCTATATTTCACAGGCATAATTAATGAAAATGCAAGAAATATTATAAACAAGTGGAATGAGGTTATTTTATGCTTACCAAGGACACCAGATACATCGCTGGAAATGAATGGATTTCCTTTTAATGGGAAGTAGTCAGTAAGATTATATGTAGGATTTTTTGTAAAGTTTTTGACTATAATTTTCAGTGCACCTATTCTTAATTCTCCACTGTAATCTGTGACGAACGACCTATATCCTTACTTAAACACCAGTTTGCACTTCAAATTAAACGCTCCCACATTCCACCTTGCCATAGAATTCCGTAATAAATCCCCAACTTGCACTATTTGCTACAAATTGTTCCTTTAATCTTACAGAAGGTATTGATTTATTTATCTCTTCAAGCGTAAAACCTGTAAATGCGTAAATGAACGTTTCAACATTTAGATTTACAGTTGATGAATAGCTCGAGTTGACGGACATGTAAACACAAAAGGTCATGCCTAATGGCAGTGAATATTTCTTTGTTTCTCGGTCGTTTCTAATAACACCAAAATGGCAAAGGAAGTGGGAATTGCTTATATCTTCTGCACCTTTGTTTTCATCTCCTCAATTAATCCGTTTTTGGTTGTTCTTTGAAAAATTCGTCATATTGCTGAAATCATGCTGAAATAAAATAGGATATTCTTTCAATTTCTTAATACTTCATAATAATTTCTCAACCTTTTCAAGGCAGACATACCTCATATCGTTGCTCTTTTCTTTAAACTTTATTTCCAAACAACATACGGCTGAAACAATTTATCTCGTCTATTCAAAATAGTTTAAAAACTTCGGATCTCGAGGGCAGAAGAATAAAACAAGATTCATAGCAATGTTACTGCATGAATTCACATCACAATCATAACAAGAAACGGGGCCAAAAGAAGCCCAATGGCGGCGCCAGCTATTATAGAGTGGGAGGGTAATGAGCGCGGTCAGTGGGACCACGCCCATTTTGCCTCGTTTCAGTAATTTGTACCAAGTTAACTTTCCTTAGAAAATTTGATCTGCTCCTACCCAGCGCTTTTTAATCCATTTTTAGAAGAAATATGTAAACCATATTTTCAGAAAAGTGGGGGGGGGGGGGTAATAACCCCCCATACCACTCCTTGGCGCCGCCACTGAAGAAGCCAATAAAATTTACTATTTATCGCCACTGATCTACCACTGCCTCTAACGACATCACGACTGACAATATCATAATAGTGTTCTGCGCCAATAAGGATATCTTTCCGCTTATTCGCTATTCCTTTCGAGTTGGTAGCTGGAAACGCCTACACAAGAGTTAACTGGAAAACAAATTCAAATAAAAACTCATTTATATTCAACAACATGAATTTCTAAAAATATTAATATATTATAAGAGGAACAGGAAATTACTACAAATAATATTTAGGTAGAGTACATCCATATGAACCAGTATGTTGTGTAGGGCACTGAGAAATCCCGTAAGGGTTATCAAGCCCAGTGCTCTTTTCTAGGTATTTTACACACCGATATTTACAGCAAAAGCTGTAAAAAGCAGCAAAAAACAGCAGCAGCACAACAACAATGCACAGATCTTAACTGAAGCATTGCAGACTTCCAAATTAATTTCAACTCTCTCACAATTTTTTCATGCATAATGTTCCGAACCAAATGTGTTAAGATTTCACCTTTCCTTAAAGGAGACACTAGCACACCGGACCACAGAACTCGTTGTTGTTTCACTAGTTCCGTGCTCGTTCCGTTGTTGTACCGCTAGTTCCGTGGTCATTCCGCTAGTTCCGTGGTCATTCCGCTAGTTCCGTGGTCATTCCGCCAGTTCCGTGGTCATTCCGCTAGTTCCGTGGTCTTTCCGCTAGTTCCGTGATCGTTCCGCTAGTTCCGTTGTCGTTCCGCTAATTCCGTGATCGTTCCGCTAGTTCCGTGGTCGTTCCGCCAGTTCCTCATTTTAGCAACGTCCGATCAGATTCGAGGTTTCATGATGTACCGATTTAAGTTCAGTTTCTTCTTCAGTTCTTCAGAAACAAATGCCTTCTTCTGTCTTTACTTTAACGCATGATGTTGTTATCGGTGTATTCGGTTGGCTTCGCTTGTTTCGGTTTTCTTCGCTGCTTTTGTGCACAACATAAAATTGTGCTGACCACTGCAGAGGTAGCCTGCACGCAGACCCAATATTCTGTGGAAGAAATATTGGATCTGCGCGCAGGCCATTGCAGAGGTAACTTTTGCACATTTGTCGACAATCTTTCCCGCAGCGATTATCATATTGCTTTTCTTTGACCTTGGTTGAATGTTTTCGTACACTCGTTATATATGTCATACATCGGAATATATGTCATACACTATGTTGGTTGCAGTAAGGCAAGTGAAGCGGAAAATTTACGACTCGAAAACTGAAGCCTATCTTCTTTGTGAATTCTTTGGGCAAGAAAGTTGTCAACAGAAATACAGAAGAATAACAGAAAAATGACGATATTGCCATATTTATTAATTTAATTTCTTATTTTTGAAGTATCAATTTGCTCTTACATGCTCAAATTGTCCTTTGTCCACCATCATAGCTTTGCCATCCACAAAGGAAGATGGCGTAGATGATGCAGGATGGGGTTACGGGGACGAAGCAGAGGACCCTGGTATGTTTTCCCTATAAATAATTTATCAATATGTTATGAAGTAATGAAGTTTCGACCCGAGGTATGAAGTTTGTACCAAGAAGAGAGCAGAAGCTATTTTGAAATTTTTTTCTTGCTACTGATGAAAAACCTCTTGTCAACAGATTGCTGGTTTCCACTGTATAAATAGGATGCATGGCTATAACACATTGTTTCTACTCTGATCTTATACTTAACCATATTGTGCCATTAATTAATATTTTCTCACATCAGCTTTTTTCGGAGATCGGTTTGCCTATTCTCAATTATGTTTGAGACTTTTGATCTTTTGATCATTAGATGCTTGAAATCATAATTTACATTTATCTCCCGTTACATGAATAGCAAGGAAAAAAAGCCTGAATCCTTATTTTCTCAAAAGGGGAACAATCTAATTCTGAAGTGAAAGATTTTGAAGAAGATGTTACGAATGACGATGAGGTAGACGGTGACAGATTGGCAGAACACGAAAGAGACAACGGTATGATTCTTTAATCCTCCTTTGCTGCCGGGGAAATGGCTGACGTCCATCCACCGAAGAGAGGAGCCGAAGGAATTTACACTCTCTTTTTTTATAAGAACAATTTTATAAGAACACGAGCCTCAAAACTGGTCAAAAGTTAAGAACAAATTAAGAACAAGCTGAGGCTGAGCTTCTGCAAAATGCAATTTTGAACAAAATTGGAGGATTTTTAGCGATGTGTGGGTGCTTTTTCAGTGAATATTCAGATTTGTCAGCCAATTAAGGCTGTCTCACTTACTTTGTTGGCAAATGAGGCCTGAACACCTCCTTAGAGCGAAAAAGCTAGCAATAGCACTGCTTACACCCTCTTAAATTAAGAACAAATTAAGAACAATATCCAGCCTCAGTTTTTGGAAAAAATGAAGAACAGTCAGCCTGAACTTAAATTTACAGGTTCTTATAAAAAAAAGTGTATTCCAGTTTCTCTTTTTATAAGCCTCTATCTGCCGTCCATTGTAATAAATGCACCATTGTTATTTTCAGTATCATTAATTGTTTTCTTAGCTGTTGGTTTAAATCAGTTGAGATCGTTATTGGCCAATCAAGCTGATGCATCAATCGTTTGTCGATTGTTAATTAAATGAAGCTGCAAACAAAATCTTAGCTGATCATGCAAATATATCATTGCTAAATGTTCTTATAATTTTTTAATAAACGTTCTGAAATATTCATTATTCGCAATAAATCCAAAAACGGCGCCATTACTTTACCGTCAATCCTATTGGTATTTCCTGCAGATGAATTCAACGGCACCTCAATTTTCTATTGGCCCCCAACATTGCTTGTGTGTATAAATGAATCAAAGACCTTTTCTAGCTTTGTCACTGTCTTCTTTAACCAATCACATTTAAAATTTGAGACAACTATATGTTACCATTCTTGTGTCGGCAGTTAGCCTTGTTTCTTTACTTGAAGCCTGATTCGTAGCAAAAAATCTAAAGAACTATTTTTTGAAATTTTAAGGAAAGGCCGATCCTCGGCCATCGGGCTGGTGGTGAGACACGGGAAACGCAGAGTTTGCAGAAAAAAGTGGGTGTGTAAAACGATCTTTTGGAAAAAAAGTTGTGGTTATAGATGGGATTGCCGTTGTTTGTGTCCACCGGGCACACACCTTCCTTGTTGGGGAGACGAGCGAGCGAAAGTCTTCAAATGAGTGAGGCAACCCTCCGTCCTGGATTCAGAGAGCATGCGTAATAATAACTTCGTTCTGTGCGCATGCTCTTTGACTCCATGACGGAGGGTTGCCTCACTTTTTAAAAAACTTTCTCTTGCTCGTCTCCCCAACAATTCCATTAAGTAAACAAGTTCGGTGCGTCCTCGGATGTCTTTTTAGTTTTGA